TGTATGCTGCTGATGTAGTTACTAAGTGTATACGGGTTTAAGAGGGCATTAAATAAGCTTGTACATTCTACTTCAAAGTACATGGTTAATTCTTTAAGAGTGGAGGGGAGAATGGATCCTGATTACATCAGCCATTTCAAGACATTGAGTGACTTGAGGTTTTTAAGGGGCGGGTGGGGGGAGAGTAGATGTGTACACACAGAATTGAAATCAGAGTTACGGTTTGTCTTTTTCCTGATAAGCTCATTAATAAGAGGTAACTGAAAGACACTACATTCTTGTAGACTAATGTATATTGTTGTCTTACACAAATAACTCTTTCTGTTTCGCTCTTTCTTAGCCCAGTTCTGTTAGCAACCTACTTTACAGTTGTTTTCCTGGATATCCTTGACTATGCAAGTTTTACTTGGAAAATCCAATCATCTTCTGCAAGCAAGAATATTATATTAAGCTGCTGTAAAATCTCAAGTTGTTTCAAGGGGCCCAGACAACTGCAAAGCTTTTAATTTTGAAATTTTTTGAAGTTAAGATGTTATAGTTTAGATAGATGGACAATTAAAAAGATTAAGAGAACTGGATGATCACGCTTAGCACAGTGGTTAATGAGCCATATTCTGTGGGGATGCTCATAACAAGTGGAATACTGTAGGATTTTTATCAATTACCTGGAGCAGGCAATAGAGTGCACTCTGGTGAAGTTTACAGAAGACATCAAGGCAGTAGTTCCAAAATGTCTGAAGTAGAGCTGGCATTCAGAGGGACCTATCTAGAGCAGAGGATTGAGCTGACATGAACACTGTCAATTTCTATGAGGGGAAAAAGGCAAATTCGTGCGGGAAGGAAGAGCTCCTGGCAGGGATACAAGCTGGAGCTGACAGGCTGGTGGGAGCAGCTCTGTGGTAGAGACCCCAGAGATACTGGGCAGACAGCGAGCTGGGTGTGAGCCAGCAGCATGTCCTACCCATAAAGGAGGCCAACGGCATCCTGGGCTGAATCCCCATGTACACAGCCAGTAGATTAAGGAAAGTGATGATCTCCCTCTACACGGCACCCATTGGATCACATCTAGATACTGCCTCCAGTTGCGGGCCCCTTGGTATGAGAATGTTCTTGATCAACTGGAGTAAGTTGCAGATGACACCAAACTGGGTGGGAGTGTTGATCTGCTCAAGGGGAGGAGGTCTCTGCAGAGGGACCTGGACAGGCTGGATCGGTGGGCCAAGGCCAACTGTATGAGGTTCAACAAGGCCAAGTGCTGGGTCCTGCACTTTGGTCACAACAACCCCATGCAACGCTACAGGCTTGGGGAAGAGTGGCTGGAAAGCTGCCTGGTGGAAAAAGATCTAGGGGTACTGGTTGACAGCCAGCTGAATATGAGCCAGCAGTGTGGCCAAAGCAGCCAATGGCATCCTGGCTTGTATAAGGAATAGTGTGGCCAGCAGGAGTAGGGAAGTGATAGTGCCCCTGTACTCGGTGCTGGTGAGGCCGCAGCTTGAATACTGTGTTCAGTTTTGGGCCCCTCACTACAAGAAAGGCGTTGTGTTGCTGGAGCATGTCCAGAGGAGAGCCACAAAGCTGTTGAAGGGTCTGGAGCACAAGTCTTATGAGGAGTGGCTGAGGGGTGTTTAGTCTGGAGAAGAGGAGGCTGAGGGGAGACCTTATCGCCCTCTACAACTGCCTGAAAGGAGGCTGTAGCGAGGTGGGGGTCGGCCTCTTCTCTCTGGTAACGGGTGATAGAACGAGGGGGAACGGTCTGAAGTTGCACCAGGGCAGGTTTAGGTTAGACATTAGGAAAAATTTCTTCACCAAAAGGGTTGTCAGGCTCTGGAATGGGCTGCTCAGGGAGGTGGTCGAAGTCCCCTTCCCTGGAGGTATTTAAAAGACGGGTAGATGAGATGCTTAGGGACATGGTTTAGTGGTGGGATGGCAGTGCTAGGTTAACGGTTGGACTCGGTTGGGTTGCCTGCCCCTTCTTCTGGAGCTGGTAAGCTCTCCTTTTTTTCCAGAAAGACATGGTAAATTCTGAGTTCTTGACATCTTCTAGATTAAAATGGTGTAGTACCATATATCAAAATTGTTTTATAAAGGGTCTATGCAAAAATAGCTTCACATATAGGTATCATTGCAGATAGGAAAAAAAAAAGTCTAGGTAGATGTCACTTCTGTGCTCTGCAAGGCAGGAGAGAGAACGTCCAAGGAGTAGAACTACTTTTCTTCTAGAACATTGTAATGATTTCTTTTTAGGTCATCATTAGACATTTGTATTGCATTTCAGTGTCATCACTGAAATGTTGAAACGTAATTATTGAGAGAATATAGTTAAGATGAGACTGTATCCAAGCAGGAGCATTTCACATAAGTCTTACGAATGTTTGTCTCAATTTATAAATGTGGGGGTTTTTCATATTGATGGAAGAAACACTACCTTTTATATCTGGCTCAGCATTCACATGGCTTGGTCTGCAGCTGTGGCACACAAATGTGCTATGCAGTGGAACAGCTACATTTAAAAAACTTACCTTTGATCCCTTTCTACAATGTTGTTAGGCCATCTTTTTGGTAGAGATTTTTTTTTTTTTAACTTTGGCTCTACTCCCAGGTGACACATTCAGACCTATCAGAGATAAAATTGTTTGGTTTGCTTTTTATGCTTCTCTTTATCTTGATGTTTCTGGAAAAATGAAGATGTCCTGCAACTCAAATTCTGTTGGGTCAAATATGTGGCGTAATAATTCACTCCATTCTGTACTGTTACGTTCTGATGCAGGTTTATTCTTATTGTGGGCTTGCAAAATATATTTCAGAAATTCTTTTGCTGACAGTAACATAACTAACAGCTGATACTAACAAAAAAAAAATCTTAGTTTGAAACCTGAATTGTTCTTTCCATCTCAGTCTTAGCATTCTTAGAAGACTTAATTTTGCATTTAACAGAGTTATGTAAAGTAGTATGAACAATTTAGCCTGTTTGAATAAATGGGAACTTTCTCATTTAGGGCAGTTGAAGAGTCAAGCAGATTAAAAACTACTACTCCTATTTAGGAGGATAATGACTGCCATAGCCATTACAAATACAATAAAAACGAGTTGTCTTGTGTTTAAGCACAAATAGCTGGACCAGTTTCAAATGCAATCATGTGAAGGTGACTATATGAACTTTTCCCTTGTTCTTCAGGGCTGATCATGGTCTTTCAGTCATGCTACCATGTCTTCACTTGATACAACTTATCTTGCTTGCAGCTATTTAAAAACCCTGCAAACCACAGATCTTTTGTTCTTAGCTGTTATGAATTCATAGAATCATCATAGAATGTTTTGGGTTGGAAGGGACCCCTAGAGGTCATCTAGTCCAACCCCCCTGCGGGAGCAGGGACACCGCTAACTAGATCAGGCTGCTCAGAATTGTTTGGGGTTCATTGAGAAGCTACAATGGTTGGCCTTTTGTGCTGTAGATGATACTTAAAATATACACAAAATCACTTTTACTTAAGTGTGTCATCCCAATACAAAGCCTCAAGTGATCCTACCTGAAAGCATCCTTGTGTTAGTGGTAACAAGTATATTTAACCTCATACAGTGAGGTGTGTTCTAGTACAAAGTTCCTGCTATTTAGGTTAGAAGTATCTAGGTTCAGCAAGTTCATAAAAGTTACTTCAATGCATGTTCTGAAATAATTCTCTGCTTAACTTTCTCTCCTGTTTCCCCATTTCATTTTGGTCCTTCAATATTCTCTAGCTTCTCTACTTTCTCATTCTGCGATTTGTTTGAGCAGTTCTCCTAACATTTAAATACTTCAGTGTGGTGCTATCTCCATTAAATTGTGCTCCAAATCCTTAACTGTTTTGTAACATAAATCCAGCTTGGGAATTCATGCTAGCAAGGCATGTTTGTTTTAACTTTAAGCATGTGGCCAACCAACAGATAGAGTGGGTCCTAAGACCTTTAGACCTCTGACAGGAAAACAAACGTAGTTTACAGAGGGGTAGGCAGAGAATTTTGTCTGTTGTTTTGGATTAGCTGCTTGTCCTGACCTTTCATTGAAGACTTCAGCATTTGACAAAGTCATTGCTGTAGCATGCAGATGAAATCAGCTGTTGTTGACTCTTCTGCACAAGTTCTGCTTTATTTTGTCTAAGAATTGGAAGAAATTCCTGTTAACATTGTTAGAAATAAAAGATTAACACCTTAATATAAGAAAAGGAATTATCATTGTGAAACATTTTCTTACAAAGCATAGGTCAAATGTAGAGGCATTCATTCCTCAGCATTATCTTGAGTGTAGTGAGACACTGATGTTATGAAATAAACCTGCAGTTTTAGTCATGTTAAATACAAGTGACAATTAAGGGTCATTTAAGGTGTCTTAATGACTTTCTTAAAAAATGACCTGTACTGAAATCCTGATGTGTAATACTGAGGATTTCTACTCAGCCACACAAAGCTTAGCAAGCAGTTGGGTGGGAGATAAAGCACTTGCCACTTTCCCTCAATAAACACGGACCAGTCACGTGGTTACATGGATTTAGCTGAGCTTGGTTGGAGCTGACTGCAAGATTCACAATTCATGGATAGAATTCAAGTGGAATTTTATGTTGGGGTGAGGGACCCTGATTAACGCAGTGTCTGTGTTAGACAAACTAAACTGTCTCTTCTGCAGCGTGTGTTTTGTTGGAGTCTTTCCTGAAGCCAATGAACCATATAAATTATTTTTATTTATATAGCTACAGGATGGTCTTAACTGGCGCCATGCTGCTTTGGAAGTAATTTACAACAGTACACTGATGATTATATGAGTTTTTCTGAAATGGTTTCATTTGATTTCATGATGAAGTTAGTCACTTGAGTCAGGTTTGAATCTCCTGTTGCTCCAACAGAAGGGGATTTTAAAATTATCTAAACAGGAATATATTTCTAAAGTCTGAAAACATATGTGATAACTTAGAGTTGTTAACACGACTGATTTCACTATTCTAATAATAATCCATAGAGTGTGTCTTGCATTCAGGTGGTATCCTGTAGAGGCAGGAGGCTTAGTGCCAATAACAAATGGTAGGGGTTGCTAATCACATTTTTTAGTCCCATATCGGGGAGTTCAGGAATGATGAAATAAGCGTCTTTATCATGGAACTGTCTGAAGTAGTTTGCAGCTTGCTCCAAGTCTCAGTATTTACAGTTTTTATACACTGCAGATAGCTCATGAAATAAAGTAGATGTGATCACAACAAGCAGGAATTGCAATGATCTAGCAACTGTGATCTCAAAGACTGCTCCTAAAAAAGTTGGGCCCTCAGGAGGGCAAAGGTGAGATTCAGAAGTGGAAACTTAAAAGAAGTTGAAAGATGCACATTGCTGTAAAACTAACAATCAAGAAGGCAAGAAAAGTTTTGGAGAAAAAGTCACCTGCACATTTGGTATAAACATCTGATCTGCAGTTTTTTCTATCAAATCACCAACCTGATAAATGTTCTTTGTAATATGCCTGTAATGACGGGCAGCATGCCTGCCTAACGTGACGACTGGTATATTTGCAAGTGTTATATACCTTGATATTTTAATCTTTATTTATGCAGGGACTCAAACCAATAGTTCCCACTGAATCCCCAGCTCTGATTTCTGGGACAACAACTAAACTTGCTTCAGATTTACCAGCAACTGATTCTTTCTTGGGTAAAAACAAGGTGCCAGACCTACAGAAACTTTTTCAGGTAACAACAACTTTGAGTAACTTAAAGAAAACTGGAGAGTGGGACATATCTTTCCTTATTTTAATGTGGTTAACTTTTTATCGTTCTACAATACCAAAATTTTGTAAAGTCTAGTTATGAAAGTGTCAAGTACAGTATAACCTGTATACCTGTACTATACTACAAGGTATATATGTCTTGTAGAGGAGATAAAGACAGAAAGTGGGAAAGTCTAGTAACATTGTCTGTCTTTTTGCTGGCTTCAGAAGATACTTACTGTATTATTTGACTAATGGAAGCACTTTCTGTCTAGGAATCCAAGTGTATGCCTTAAAGCAGATCAGGAGGAGCAAAGCAGATTGTTACTGTTTTGTGTATAATAATTTGAATCTTACTGAAGCTGTTTATAACACAGTATAAGAAAGCACAGTAAAGTTTTCAAAGCTAGTTTGTTAGCTATGCAATTTCTAAGTACTAGGACTTTTCATAAAACAAATCAGTTAAGGATTTTTTTAAAAACATCAAGAATGTGCTTATATAATGTTCCCTTTTCTCTCTTACATGCCACTTGCATTTGGAATATGTCAGTCTGACTTGGTGAATAATTTTTTATACATATCTTTTCACGTTCTTCTGTTAGTGACACTTTTCCCATCCAGGTCCTCTTTAGAAATATTTCACAAATTATTCTTTCTGCCTTCACTTAACAGCTTTGGCTAATAAAATTAACTTGCCTTTGCATTTGTCTTGCTAAATGAAAAGCACATAATACACTTGATTGTAGATAGCCTATTTGTCAGGAGATTTCCCTCATGGAAGTCTCTTAATTTAGCTGAGGTAGCTTGTTCCTTACGGCCTTGGTATGGATGCTCATTTCTTTTATTTGTTTTCTCTTCAAACTCTTCCCACAGAAAGCAGATGGACTGCCAGTACACCTGAAACGAGGAGTTCCAGATAAGCTGCTTTATCGGACCACTATGGCTCTAACAATTGGTGGGACTATCTACTGTCTAGTAGCACTGTACATGGCCTCACAACCAAGAAACCAAAAGTAAATGAACCTCAACTCATGGGACTCGTAACACTTCTCTGAAGGACCTCCTGCATGTATCTCTCTGCACTCGCTTTAATTCTGTGATCATACTGGGTTCATTATTCAGATCAATTTCTTGGAGAAAGTGTTTTTAAGCTGGTTGCCTTACGTGTTCTAGAAATCAATATAAACAGACATAAAGATATAATTTTAACATATGGTTGTAGCTTTGTATTTGTTGTCTCGCAGGAGTGTATGTGAACAGTTGGAGAAAGTTAAGCTTTTCCTTCCTTCCCTCCCCCAGTTTAAACAATGTTAGAGATAGGACAGGACAAATCCTTTGTGGACTATGCTCCACATTCCTTAGTGGGAGGATGCTACTGGTTTCCAAAACAGTAAAAGCAAATCAATTATTATAACATACTGGGAAGCAGTTTCTGTTATACACGGCTCATTTTACATTAGCAGGTGGCAGTGGAACTTTTCCAAATGCTGGTGTGTTATTAAATATTTGTACCTCTGGTGGTAGGACAAAGGGCTTATCTCCCTGGAGCATTTAAAGTGGATTTATTCCATAATGTTAGCATCACCGTATGCAGCAGAGTGCACCAGTATTGCAGCAGCAATTTTACCAGTTTTTGGACTTCATTTGTCAAATTATCTTACTGTGCAATAAAGATAACCACATGAATAATGAAAGAGGCAAGTCTTGAAAGTTTCGGACCACTTCAGCTGGCCTGGCAGTGAAATAAACATTACTGGTACACTTTTGTTTAAATTCAACTTGTAGATCTCAACCCAGACAATTGATTCAGCTACCTTATTGTAATCTTCTTGAGATGGTAATCCTCTTAAAACACTCTCTCAGAGCTCGTTGGGTGTTTAACAACAATAATTTTTGGTGAAACAGGTCACAGCTCAGCTGCATGCTATTTTCAGTGCATGCACATACTTACATACACACACATTTCCTTTGCTGTGTGGGTAGAAGAAAGAGAAGCCGATAACGCCCTTTATTGATTTTTTTTTAATATAGCCTTGAACTGCAAGTTTCACACAAATCTTCACAAAAAGCCTCCTCTAATTTGATAGATCCTCCTCTGCCTATGACCATTGAGTATTCACTCTTGGACACCCAGGCTCTGGATAAGCATGCATTCACTGGCCTCTGTAAAGACCCATCTCTCCCAGAGCTGTGCAGAAACCACCTTCCCTATAAATAGGGAAAGCAGCTGATAAAGGAACCTAAAATTCCATTTCTTCAATCTCTTACTAAAAACATTATGATTTTTTTCCAGTCAAGTTATATCAAAGGCTTATTTCTGTTCCATAGGAAAGAAAATAGCTGCTTGTATTGTGATCTCAGGTTTCAGTTAACATTGGTACTTCCGGATGGGAGAGATTAAGTCACTGAAAAAGAAATTTGTAAGGATAGCAAGACTCAAAGAACAGCAGAGAAGGATTTAAGTTTTCCAGAAATTGACAGCTGTGTTGCCTCTACTGATAAAATTTTATTCTCAGTAGGCCATACTCCCATGGCACTAAGAATCTTGTGCTGTGGGCTGTTAAATCCTATTTTAAAAAAACGGAAATTAAAAAAGAGAGAAAGAGACAATAACCTACTATGCTGCTTTCTGTCTTTCTTGCATATAATATATTAAGCACTGCCTACAAGAATCTTCTAATAAAGGATACTTTGCACACAAACTTGTCAGGTAGATTTTTCATGAGGATAAGTAAGTTATCAGAGAATATTTCTGCTTTTAGGTTTGGGGGGGGGCGGCGCTGGGGGAGGTTGAGTTTTCTGGTTTTTGTTTTGGAGTTGGTGGGTTTTTTTGTTTGGTTGGGGGTTTTTTTGGTTTGGTTTTTTTTTTTCCTATTTTTAGAGTTCACATAGAAGATAGATAACTTTCTGCTTGTTGCCAAGGCAGTTGTGGTTAAACTAACTAAACTGTTAAACATGTGGAAATACTCTTCCAAGTACTTGTGGAAAGAACAGCGACTTACCACTCGGGTCCAGCTTGCTTAAAGGGAACTCGACTAGGAGACTGGCTTCATGTATTGCTATAGAGATCATGGTTGGAGCTATGGATATCAGAATTGTCTTCCTATTGCCCTGGGTCTAGCTTTTTCCAGCTCTTTGTCAGCAGCTGGAAACACGTGGTAAAGGGAAAAGACGACACCATCAGATTTTGCAAATAACCAGATACTAGGTAATCCATTGTTGGGTTTGGGGTTTTTTTTTTTTTTGCAGTGTTTGGATTTTGAAAAACTGTTTTCACTTTGCCCTTCTCAAAAAAGCTGACCCAGTTGAAGCAGGATGAGAATGCTGCTTCAGCGAGGCATTGCTTGTCTGCAGGCATGGGGCAGGGCTCCAGTTGCAAGAGAAAGAGGAGACTGCATTTCTGTATTCCCACAGCAAAGTGCTCTGAAGAACAGGAAAGCTTGAAGAACAAGAAAACTTGCAAGCTGTAACCGGAAGGCTAGGCTGCAGCAGCAAAATCTTGCCCCTTTTCTCAATGAGTTTTGGGATCATCATAAAGAAATTACGACATGGTAAATCCTTTTTCTTTCCAGAAAAAAGCTCTGTTAAATATCTATTTAAAAATAGACTTTTATGAGGATTCAAGAAGGTTTAAGTGTTTTGAATTATTGTTTGTGATAGAGACACCTAATCTTCTTATTCTTAGGCCTTCGAGGACACCCTTACCTTTAAAAGCAGTAGTCTGCCCCTGGCCTGATGTTAAATAAGGTCCTAATTAAGGAGAACCAGGAGTGAATTGCAGCATCAAGAAGGCTACTTCAATATTTTTGACTTGTATCTACATCAGCTTCTTACTTCTAGGGATGACAACTTCATTATGTGTGTCTGATGTTCTGCTTTTTTTTTTGGTTTTTTTTTTAAAGACCCCCTCAATTTTTTCTTGGAAATTATGCAACCTACCAGCACTGAGAAAACACAATGCATTTTTAAGTGATAGCTTATACTCTAGTGTTTTGGCTTGAATGCACAGTAGGGAATAAATTATAATAAGCTCTCATACCCCAAGGTGCTGGGTTTGGAAGGAAAAGCAGCTGAGATTTACAATACTCGGGAACAAAATTATCTCGTGGATAATCATCCATCCCCCATGGCTTTATCTTACTGTTGAGAGACTGGTTTTCCTTCTTAAATGATAACTATTGAATTCAGGTTGCCAGAGAGATATCTTTGTAATGGTTTTTAAATAAGAACTCCCTTCCTACTTTTAACGTGGGAGTAGTAGAATAAATGCACTTGAGAAGATGTTGGTAGTATGCATGCATGTCTTTCAGCTGCTTTAAAAGTATATTAAAGAGAGGATTCCTCCACAGTATGACCATACTGTCTCAACAGGCTTTTGCCTTAACATTTTAGTATTGAAATAATCACACTATTGACACTTTAAGACATTAATTGATCTTGCCTTAAAGTAAAGCTTGTCAAATTAAAAGGCGCTGTAAGGAATAAAAGCAAGGGAAACTGGGAAAATCGCAATCTAATCTTGCAGGCATCAAAGAGTGGAAGAGAGTATTTAAGAGCTGCTTATTCACCCATATACACATAGTACTTACTCCCCTCTTTACCCGCCTTCCTCCAAATTCCAGCCTTTCAAGAGGCTTCAGAAGAGTCACACATCAGTTTTTTTCCACTCCTGTCACACACCATTACCCCTGCAGATCTTAAAATTTTAAAAATCCAGGTGCTTTTACACATAGAGAAAAAAGTGCACATAGTGGGTAAGTTACATGTAAAATAATGCTAAACTGTTATAAAAAAAAGTTAGAAGCGACTTGCATTTTATGATGTACTATACTAACTTTTTTCCCTCTCCAGCCCTTGACCTCAGTGAAAAGTTTCACAAGGGCCAAAGTTTAATCTCTTTTAAAATGTAAAGTGGGAAGAACTTGCCTGCAATCTAAGCATTAGTTTTAGCAAGGAAATTTTAGGCATAAAAACCAACCTTTTAAATATTTTGCATATTCAGTACTAATTGCATCTTAGTTTATGAAAGATTGTTAATTTGAATCAACTCCAGTTAGCTGCAGTGCAAGTGATGCACAGATTGCTAAGAAGTAGAAGCATATTTGTTGTGAAAGGGAGTGCAAGCATGCCTGTGGATCAGGGAATGGGGTGTATGCTATCCAGTATCAGTGTGGCATCTCACTAGTGCCAGATCTTATCTCCTGGTGCTCCTTACATGATCCCAGACTGCTTTTGGGTATGGCACTGGACAGAAGGAGCCATTTTATTTGTACATTAATTATCTCAAAATACAAGAAAGTTAAATTCAAGGGTATATTCCCCCTGCTCCCCCAAAGAGAGATAATACTCCATGCTAAAACATTTTTTCTAGATGACTTTGCCCAGTGGATCCAGTGCTGCAAAACTGGGAGGGGGAAGTACTTTGCCTCACTTCACATCACCTGCACACCACCATCACTTTTCTCCCTTCCTCACTCCCACATTTTTGTTCTTAAAGACCATGAAAAGTTTTCTAGTTTATTTCCTTTTTTCCCCAGCATTTAACAAATATTCTGTGCCACAAAAGGAATTAAATTGTTTCTAAGTGCTTCAAGAGAACTTCTGAAATATTCATACCAGAGGTGTACATTTGTCACGTGTATTTTTTTCCTCTGCAAGTTGGAACAAGCCCTGGAAGTCTCCTTTGTGAAGTACGTGATCCCTGTCAATCCAGCAACTTGCATCCGCCCCAGGTACAGAGGTGAACCCCTTACTAGAGCGGCAAGTCTCTGAAGAAGCTGTTCTACAGGTGTGCAAACATAGGGGCATCAGATGACTTGCTGCTTCCAAGCACCTGACTGTACTTCAAAGAAATACAGGAAATACTTCTTCCCAGCAACATTATTGCACTTTGAGCCGTGTTAGCTCAAATGTGTATCGTACCCATTTTAGTATCTTCCTTGCAATTCAGTCACACACATTAATCTTGCTATTAATTGCTTTATATGTTTATGGTGTGGTGCTACCTCAGCCATCTTGGATTCCCTTTCTGATTTCATCACTGAGCCCTAATTTTTGAACACCCCAAATTAGAAATTTAGGCATTAATGATAATGTGTCCACGTTGGAAAAAATTCACTTGAGGCGTAGAGCAGAGACAGTTGACAGCATTCATAGCAGAGTTCAGTACGACCTGCCACCATAAACCAGATGTTCTTCCAACCACACAAAGCCATCCTTAGCATTTTGTTTAGTTCTTGTTACACGTAAGGGAGATCATCTGTGTAATCTTTTGTTGCTGACCTACTCGCAAGAGGAGATTCAGCACTGTCTAATCCACAATACTGTGTAAGTGCAAATTGCGTCTTCACTTAAACTAAAACTGTAACAGCACTTCTTTGGAAGGAGGCAAGGAGAACACGTTTGGAGAGGTGGAGAGGGTCTAAGTGTCAATTCCACCAACCTGAGCCTGACTTGTAGGCAAGAAAGAAAAACTAATGAAATGCAGCTTTTCCGGCATAAAGAAAGAGTGCTACTTGTTAAAGCTTATTCTTGCATAAGCCTTGCATAAGGAAAATGCATTGGTCGTCTGATTGGAACTAATTAATCAACTCTGCTCATATGCAAAACAAAGAAACCACACTTCAGCATACTCATTGTTAGCAGCGTGACCCTGCAGAATTAACAGGAGTCAAGACTTCAGGCTCTCATAGATCATCATCAGCAAACCCCTACACTGCAATAAAGCAGGCTGGAGTCCACATAGGTTCTCCAAGACGTGCAGAAACCAAACAGCCTGTAGCACCATGCCCTTCTTACACTCTCTTTTCAGAAAAGCATACTTCAAAAACTGCCAGAAATTACTCTTTCAGTCTATCTTAGAGACTTACTGGTTGCCCAGAAGCTCACCCGGAGGCCTTTCTAAAGCTCTGTAACAGCCTCCTATGGCCGCTGAAGAATGGCTTGCTAGACAAAGGTCTGAACTCCTGTTTAGACATGTTTGCAGACTGATGGATAATGCCCGTCAGGTCTGCCTGCAGAGAAGCTATTTGATCCCTCTGTACTGCCACACGTAGAAAATACAATCACAATACAATATCCAAGTGTGACAATGTTAAAATGTTTGAATAATTCAGAGAGGCACATGCCCTTCAAGAAATTTCTTATCCGTGTGTGGCATTTTTTACTTTCACTGACCAACGGGTTGCAAGAAAAACCTGTGTAATACAGATTTCCTGGATTACAGACTCAAATCCCATGTTCTTTATTTAAATTGTAGGGGATAAACTGAACTGAGTAAAAATAGAAAAATCTGTCAATAGCAGTATTAACTAGAGTCATCCCTTAGAATCATAGAATTATTTAGGTTGGAAAAGACCTTTAAGATTATCAAGTCCAACCGTTAACCTAACACTGCCATCCCACCACTAAACCATGTCCCTAAGCATCTCATCTACCTGTCTTTTAAATACCTCCAGGGAAGGGGACTCGATCCCTTCCCTGGGCAGCCCATTCTGGTGCCTGACAACCCTTTCAGTGAAGAAATTTTTCCTAATGTCTAACCTAAACCTGCCCTGGTGCAACTTCAGACGGTTCCCCCTCATACCTGCCCTGG